ATTTACTACCTATATAAGAAGATGGCCTGAATTACTATAGCTTTGTGGTTTATTTTGACATCAGGTAGTCTGATACCTCCAGCTTTGTATTTTCTTGGCCAAGTTTACTTTGGCTCTTCATGGTCTTTGGTAATTCCATAGGAATTTTAGGATTACTTTTTCTATTTCTGTGAAAAATGTCACTGGAATTTTGATAGGGTTTGTATTGAATCTGTAGATTACTTTGGACAGTACGTGCATTTTAACTATATTAATTCTTTCAATCATGAACATGGGATATCTTTCCATTGATGTCTTTCTCAATTCCTTTCATCAATGTTCTATACTTTTCAGTGCACAGTTCTTTCACAATCTAGGTTAAATTTATTCCTAAGTATTTTATTTTTTGTAGCTATTATAAATGGGATTGTTTTCTTGATTTCTTTTTTGGATAGTTTATTATTAATGTATAGAAATGCTACTGATTTGTGTATGTTGATTTTATATCCTACAACTTTATTGAATTCATTTATTGGTTCTAACAGTATTTTGGTAGAGTTTTTAGGGTTTTTATATATTTTATATATATATGTATATACATATGTAAAAGATTATGTCATCTGCAAACAGGAACAATTTAACATCTTTCTTTCCTATTAGGATGACTTTTATTTCTTTTCTTGCCTAATTGCTTTGGCTAGAACTTCCAATAGTGTGTTAAATATAAGAGGTGAGAGTGGGCATCTTTGTCATGTTTCTGATAGTAGATGAAAAGCTTCAGCTTTTCATCCTTGAATATGATGGTAGCTATGGCTCTGTCATATATTGCCTTTATTGTGTTGAGGTATATTCCTTCTATACATAATGAGAGTTTTTATAATGAAAGAATGCTGAAACCACACTTTTTTCCCATGTTCTAAACTAAATTAACTGCCTACTGGACATTTTCCCTGGGATGTCCCACAAGCACATCATAACCAGCTTCTTCGAGAATGAGCCCATATTTCTCTTGACTCAGATATGTTCTTCTTCTCCCTCTACCCTACCAAATTCTTTCCACCACTATGTTTAATCTATTGATAAATCTTTTATTCTGCCATATCAGCATTTCTTACAAACAAACAAAAATTCCCTACCTCTACACAGTCATAGTTCTGCTTCCCATTATTTCTCATATAAAGCTATTTGTGATAACTTCCTAATGGTCATTAGGCTGTCATAATAATTATGCAGGTAATTTCCCAAAACAATATACATTTGCCCTATCCATCTCCCAAGCTCCCATCCCTACATTTCTTAACAATGTATATAGTCATAATAAGATGTTCAAATGCAATGAGAGCTCTCTCACTTTCCCTCTTATACTCTTCAAAAGTTCTTTGTGTTACCATACACCATATTCTTCTTCTCTTCTGTCTAAAAGAGTGAGTCAACCCTTTCTTTGGGAGAATACTTTAGTATCTTACACAATGAATTACTTATTTACACCTTTCATTTCTTTTTCTCACTTTAAGAAACTTCCCCTCAGCCACAAAAACACTCCCTGTCTTTTCTTTCTTAAGAAATACTCATTTAAGCCTCTTCTTTCTCTGCCCAATATTCTTGAAAAAGTTATTTTTACTTGCTATCTCCAGTTTTGCATAATTCACCTCTCCTGAATATCATGCAGTCTAGTTCTATTCCCAAAATTTAA